TTGTATAGAAAAAATGATTTTATTTTATCGTTTTTTTTATGAAAAACCGTCACATCCCAAAATGTTGCACTTTTGCTTATAATAATTTTATTGTTTTTTTTTTTAATTGTACCCTTCTTTACATATATTATACTATTGTACGTTTAAGATAACTGACAATGATGGTCGCAACTGACAAAATGGCCAGATAGAAGATAGTCAGCAAAATGCTCAAATGCAAAAAGGGCAATCATCTTTTTTGGTAATGATTTAAGATAAAATGATGTGTATTTCATGCACCATAAAATAGCATCCATTTGGGTCATATTTTTGTAATAAAATGATTTAGATTTGTGGCCCTTTTGTATTTAATGAGGGATTTATGTCTGTTCTTCAAATTTCATCACAACCGGTTAAGTCATTTCGTAGACTAGCCCGAGTAGACAAAAAGAGAGGCAAATATTTTTATAAATGGTTATTCATGTCTTAATAGCATACAAATAACCCTCTGTGCTTAATAGAAGTCTATTATTTCGATATTACAGATACTATACTAATATTATATTGGTAGTAAATAATTGTAACACGAATGGGTCGGCTCGACCTCGACCGGAGAGGGACCACGCTCTCACAAAATACCAACGTCAAATAATAGCTTAATGCTGCTGTGTTTCGTGTGGTGAGTGTAGAGAACCGGGGACCCTTTTTACTGGAAATGAGGCATTCCATCTTAATCCTCACGGGTGACAACGCATCAGCATTTTCGATCGTATCTATATATAGATGTCGATGTCTATGGGCCACAGCAACCACTTACCATCAGGTGGACTGTGTGCTCGTTTGTCACCCTATCCTACAAAAAAAATATGCACAGATTATTTGGATCACTGCAGTTGGGTTCTTGTTTTTAATAATAATTTTACAAGTTAAAACCCCATATTATAAGATTATAAAGTGGCTGTATATTGTTGATCTAATTGAGAATTACTTTTTAGAATTATAATACAACATATTTACCATAAAATATAGTACACCTTTATAGACTTTACAAGTAAGTCACACATTCGCATATACAACGTTTACATTAAACTGATACAATAGTTACCTACGCTATATGAATTCATTTTATAGACCGTTTGCGTAATATTAAGAATATAAAGAACTTAAAAAAATTAGAATATTTTTTTAGTTCTATTAAGTTACTTCTGTCATTTCACAAACAAAAAATATAAATATATGCAGCATGTACGGACTCGATTATTTAATGGTCCTTAAAGCTTTTCTGTGAAACTTTTTTACGTACTTAATAATAATTCAAATAAATTGTGGAGCTTTTCTTTGATAACGATCCTTCCATGCGCCTTCTTTGACCGAATGTGCTCGGTTGACATTTCCATATTGAATGTTCGGGGAAAACGAAGCCCTGCCACTTTGGTTGTTACTGCTTCTCAAGGTCACCGTTGTACGCGTTCGCATGCTAGACGTGTTAGACGTTTGACGTAATCCTTGCATCTGTAATAATAATTGGAGCATTAAAACTAAACAATTTTAATTAGGTTGTACTTTAATGTCATCTCGATCTCTCTCAAGGTCTCTTTGACATGTAACATACCTTCCCTTAGATATGGTAAGAGGCAAATATAAAAAGGGGCAAAAATACCTCAATTGTAATAATTACCTCAATTGTAAATAAGGAATGAATAAAAATGTGAAACTTTAAGTCGTTTTAATCTTGTTATAACAATAATATAGATAACTACGTAGTAGTATATGGTTTTAAAATAAATATAATTTAAGTTAGGATAAAAACAACTAACTAATTTTTTGTAATTTGAAATCAAATATGTCAAATATTACAAAAATCAATCATCAATATTAAAATAATAAGAAAACGTGCTCAATCCCATTTGAAGTATAACTATTATATCCAGTTATAACGATATTTATCAACGCTTTCAAGGGTTTCTCATGCAGGAATTGCCATCATAAAAAATATTATACGAAAAAGTAAGTAAAAGTTTAGTAAAACTAAAATAAAACGTAACAAACACGTAAACCGTGCAAACTTACATGGAAATGAGTACTAGAGTGTATGTTACCGGGGTCGTTACAGAGTAGTTTACGAAGAGACCGCCTAAAGTTGCGCGTCATTAAGCAATAGACAATTGGATTGATGGCGGAATTCGTGTGACCTGAAAGATTAAAAAAATCTTATTTTATACAATTGAAGTGAGAAATGAACTTATAGTCTACACGGTGGCAAACGTCACTGCAGGGTGTGTATTCGGCAACCAAGTTCAAATAAAGAAAGCTACATATACGTTAAAGTTGACATTTAAGGACTTTTATGGAATGCCTAAAAGTATGTAATTTTACAGGTTTTCTATAGCCCTCAGACCGGAACATAGACGTGCATGCACTGCTGCGTTCCTTGTTCATTGCTTGCGGCGTTAATGAGTAAGGTAATTCTTATTCATACTTATCCAGAAGGAACCCTAAGCAGAAAAAAGTTCCTACCATTAAATTATTACTGGAAGAAACGTAATACGCTTAAAGTTTATTTTCAATCGAATTTAAACCGAACTTAATGTGACTACGTATTATTATAACGTCGAAAATGATGTTAACAAACAATTAATTCTTGATAATGACATACCACAGTAACGTCCGGTACAAAATTAATAATTATTAACGATTCACGTATGCAAGATAGTGTTACGCGCTCAAGTCGACGGCACTAGCGCCATCTAGTCTCGAACCGAAGAACTAAACTTCTTGAAATTGAAACACGAACTCTCGGTACCTTGCGCGTGTTTACTTGAATATTCTGGATATTTCGCTGCTAATTTATATAAATAGGCGCTGCAAGATGCGATCGAGGAAGTACTGGATTCGGCGAGACAAGCGAAGCTTCGGAGCGGAATAAAGTGAATCAGTGTGATTAGTTATTAGTGTTTTTAACTTAATTAGTGTAAAGTGAATTAAAGTGTTAATTTAGGTAATTCTATCGGCAATTTTTATTGTCACGAACCTCAAGCTCGTAACAATAGATTAATTTCATTGTTTGCGAGAGAATTTATGGCATAATTTTCATCATTATTGTTCTAGTCACACAATTCTATTTCTAGACTGGATTTGTTTGGATGTAAGTATATATTGAAAATAATAATATGGATAACACATCTGTCTAGATGTATTAACTTAAATACACGGTTACGTTACATTTCAAGTCTAAATGTTCAGTAATTATTTTATATTGAAACCAATTGCAAAAATTATTTCCAGGAAAAAATTGTTAAGCTCATAGCATCAGGAATATGAGGGATTAAAAAACTAACACAAAGCACTTGGCAAGCAATAACGGCCTCTCAAAATTGCGCACGACTCGCTCTTTCCTAAATTGTTTTATAGAAGCGCAGTCGTGACGGTATAGTGGGGCAGAGAAGTCCTCTAACATAACGAACACGCTTCTCACCTACAGTATACTGCGTAACCACTAACATTATGCCACACTCACCGGGAAATCAGACGTGCCATATACATACGCTATATACACATATACTCTATACCTAGCGGCGTGTTACCCATACAGATTGGCTAGCTGACAATCAGCACATCGCAATATGTTATAACGTTTTTATTTTAATTTATTTTTGAAGTGAAAACTTTAACCGCGTCGAACGAATTTTGGTAGGGGAGAAACTTATGGGTTCGCGTCACCGACGACCGTAACTGGCGACGTGTAGTATAACCGCCTGTGTACACTGTACATGTATACGCATATATCGTTGAGTTTTCACTTCTGTCGGCAGTCTTTATGACTGCCTTTGTTTTTATTTTATAACACAGTCTTTTAAATAACTTCATTGATTCCCTGGTCCCAGAACTAGCATAACTCTTACAGGTACTCGTACTAGTTACATCTCCTAATGTACGCATAGCAAAAGATCAACTTATACTATATAATAATATAAAGTAATTCTGTTAGTTGAACAGGTACAAAAATGTGAATTAAGATATTATATGTTCTTTTAAGCGGTTTGTTAACATACATACATTAACACCGTGTATTTGAAAAGTCGACACTGGACGCTTCATCAAACGCGAGAGGCAATGCTCTTAGGCTATAACTTGGGTTAAGAGAAATAAATATTCACCTAAGAGCAAGGTATACGGTAGAAAAAGTGCCCCTGCGTCGACCTGTACCACGTTGATATCAATTAGAAGTTGCAGAATGTTATATGGCAGCCAGCACAGCGCGAATAGTACAGCTAAGAGAAGGAGAATCCATGCGACGCGTTTTCTTTCACGAACCAGACGCAAGCGCTGAAAATTAAAATTTTGAATAAATTAAGAACTTTAAAAATACAGTACTTTATAAAATAAATGACGTTACTTAAATTTATATTTACATAAATTTATTTAAATGAAGTTACGGAAATTTTAACACATCTCCACGTTTCAAAGTTTTTAGAGTCGAATAGTATGGTTTTTAAGAAGACGTCCGTGTGTGCACATGTACGTATGTATGTATGCATGTGTGTTCCGATTAAATTTTTGCCTCGTGTATCTCGAGAAGAAATAGTGATATTGACATGGGAACAGTTTCATTTAACGCACAATTATGTAACTTAGACCTTATTAAATTTTGAGCAAAATCGGTCAAGTGGTTTATTTTTTGTGCCGAAAGAAAAATTTTATGAAATATTAAAACATATGATATTTTTATTCTTTCCACTAGAAAGTTAGTCGTGTGAACATTTTGGGTCACACCTAGACCGCTTTTTTAAAATAAATCGCTATATTATCATATTAAAATAATGCAATCGAAACTGTTGAATAAAACCAATTTTACGGATTTTATCGATTTTTATTAATTGCCGACGATAATAAATATCTACTCTTATTCCCACAATGTAATGATAAATATCTCAAGCCCTTATGTTGAGCCTATGCCTTGTTCTAGGCCTATGCCTCCTCCCATTCCTCAAATCAAAATTTTAATTTAATTACCAATAATTTTAACTTACCTGTTGACTATTTACGCTCCCCTCAGTTTGATCGAAAGGAGGCAGCACTGAGCACAGCCGTCTGCCCATTAAAAAGTATGAAACTACAACGATAGAACCTGTAAATAAAAAGTTACTAATTATTTATTTTTGCCATGTACGCTACGGTTAAGAATGTACAATACCCCATTTCCCATTCTCGTGGGTGTCATAAGAGGCAACTAAGGGAAACAGGTATGAGATGGGCAGCAGCATCTTCCTGATAACAGGAATAGTACAACAAAAAAACTGTGGTGTGCCAACCTACCCACCAAGCGCGGCGAATACGGCAAACATCCCTCCATTAGCAACGACACAAATAAACGGACCCCAGTCCCCATCAGCTCCAATATTATTGGCTACAGTGGAGACCGTGGTAACGGCGGGGCAGGGGGTGCTAATAATCTCCAGTGCATGTTTGATTGCCACCTTAGACAACTCAACTTGGCAACTGGGATATTATAGGATTATTTGAGGTCCGAATAAATAGAGACGTCACGGTAAACCTCGAATCCAGTAACTTGTTCTATCACCAGGATAGCATACCTACATCTGTCCCAAGGAAGTGTCAGATTTATCGCGTGTGTCAACGAGGATTCCATTACGTACCTTATAATCAAAATCAACAAACGGTATTCGTTGAAGGTCATACAGATTACCGACCTTTGCATATCCCGATCAGTAGGTGTAGAAAATGTATGAGGATATATTAGATATAGACTCACTATACGGTGTTAATGCGTGACTTCGACGCAAAACTAGGCACAAGGGACAACAGTAAGCTGAAGGTAGGGAAATTTAGAATAAGACAACGGAACCCAAAGTGCCAGCAGCTGGCCGACTTCACGAAGAAAAAAAGACTCTTTACGATGAACTCTTACTTCCAGAAACGGCTCCACGGGAAGTGGAAGTTGAGAGATTAAATTGGCAGATGTACACTTCATCGTTGTAGTAGTAGTACGCTAGTGTAAGAAATGATCCAAGAGCAAGTCTTATCCGACACTATTCTAGTGATATCCCGGACATCAGTATGAGTGAAATTAGAATAGCTCCCCGGCACCTGAAAAACGACAAGTCTCCAGGCGAGAATGGAATTACAGCGGAGCTTCTGAAAGCAGGAGGAAAACCAGTACTTGAAGCCCTTCAGAATCTCTTTAATTTCGTTTTCCATGGTATTACTTCTCCGAAGGCGTGGAACAGAAGTATGGTAGTCTTGTTTTTCAAAAAAGAAGACAACGCTCTCTTGAAGAACTACAGATTGATTTCTCTTCTGAGCCGCGTCTACGTACTATTTTAGAAAGTCATTACCCATCGTCTTGCACGCAGACTCCGGAAGAGGCCGATTTCCGAAAAGGCTTTAGTTCCATAGACTATATACATAACCTTCGCAAAATTGTTCAGAAGTCCGCGGTCGCTAAGGAGTATGTTAGGGCTTAATCTGAATGGCAGGGTGAGAAACTATATGATAAGAGAAGAGTGTGGTTTGCAAGATGATGTTGTGACCAGGATTAAGAAAGGAATGCTTCGGTTGTTTGGTCATGTGTAAAGAATGAATAAGGAAAGAGTGACAAAGAAAATTTATGTTGCAGAAGTGAATGGAAGAGTCTGTAAGGGACGTCCTAGGCGAAAGTTTGTCGACCAAATTGGCGATATATTAAAAATGGGCCAATTAATTTATAGGAAAAGGGTGACAAGCGAGGACACAGTCCACCTGATGGTAAGTGGTTGCTGTGGCCCATAGACATCTACATCCATCCTCGTTTGCGAATAAACATGAAGATGCGTTGGCAGCCGTGAGGACTAAGATTGAATGCCTCTTTTCCAGTAAAAAGGGTCTCCGGTTCTCTACACTCACCATACGAAACACAGCAGCATTTAAGCTACTATTTGACGCTGGTATTCTGTGAGAGTGAGGTGCTTCCCCGGTCGAGCCGACCCATTCGTGCTACAACTATACAATTCATGTAACTGCAGCATGGCTCTATCACGTAAATTAAGAGAACCCTTAAACGACGAGTATGTATGCCTAGGTATATGGATGTGGAAGAGGCGAGAGAGGTATGTCAGGATCGTGCTAAATCGAAGTCTGTAGGCTCTGCCTACTCCTCTGGGTGACAGGCGTGAGTTCAATCTACCTTTTTGCCTTGATTCCACCGAAATTCGGGCGGTGCTACAGTCCTTTTAGCGGTGCCAAGTTGATTTTCGGTATATCGAAGTACTAAAGTATTTGTACAGTAGGGCTACGAGGGCTGCTGCAGAGTTCAATACAACGTCAAGGTGGGCCGATCCCAAAATGGAAAGGAAGAACCGGAGTAAACCCCTGGAAAAATGGGAAAACCGGAAAAAAAAAAAAAGCCCAAAAAAAAAAAAAAGAAAAAATTTCACTTCCGTACTTTTTTTTAAGAAAAAAAAAAGAGGGCACAAAAAAAAAAAAAAAAAACGGAGAAAAACCATACGACACATTTTCTAGTCATATATACCTCAAACCTTTAAGACAAGATTGCACAACCAGTGGGTGTTGCTAGAGATGATGACATGATGATGATGATGATGAGACACTGCTATCTATATCAGCACGCTCAAGGTTGCTCAGCAAGCTATTAAGAGGGCTATGCTCGAGGTTTCTCTGCGTGATAAACTTAGAAATGAGGATAGGAGAAAACCCAGAGTGACTGACATAGCTCAACGGATTAGTAAGCTGAAGTGGCAATATAGCTTGAAGAACCGACAATCGATGGGGGAAAAATGTTCTCGAGCGGCGGCTTCTTGCTGAAGAAATAACAAACTTCTTTACAGAAAAATAGTCTCTATATATAAGTTTTTATGGGTTAAAGTGCTGTGGGTTGGTACGACCTCATGAGACCGCTAGGGGGTTGGGAGGTAACACATCAGGTACACTAGTTAAATCGGCAACGACCTGATTTCAATTTCCCTTAGTCACCGTCTCACAGTTTCTCAATGTTTTTTAACCAACTCTCACACTTGATGTTTTTACCACACTTCAAATATCGTGAGTTATAGTCGGCACCCCAAAAAAGGGAGTTGCCTTCCTATAAATTAAATTTAATAGAAGCTTCGTATCAAAATTTTTGTTACACATACACAGATAAAGTAGTATTTTTATTCATTACTAAAAAGCAATGAAATTGTTAAAATACTTTATTTAAAGCTATTTATTATAATATATGACTTGTATTACGTGCATAACATGCACAAACAATTAAGATCTGCTAGTTAAATGATATCTCTTACAGCACACCCCACCTAGTACAGCACTAGACTTTTAGTAACCTGATACACGGAGTGTTTAAGTTTATTTGAGGAAAGAGTGCAGAAAGATAAAATTTATTTATGAGTCAAATACAATAAGACAAATTATTACTACATAATTATTATATAAACATTATTTACAATATAATTACTCTAAGAGACAAATAATTTCTGTCATATTGACTGAATAAGCTATGAATTTTATGTTATTTCAAATGTTCGTTTTCAATATTCGTTCGTGTGTGAATTTCAGTGTATGTAAAGGCATTAAAGTATTTATTTTATGTATTAATTTGCATTTGAAAGTGAAATACAGCTTGCATAACATACAAACCTAAACCTCACCACGACTTCACACCTAAATATGTTTTACTAATTAACCAATTCAAATTATAGTCCATATATTTTGATTCGTGAAGAAACTTTTTCATATTCCTTTAACCCTTCTACCGCCATCGCCGTAATACATATTACAAATCTTAAGGTGAATACCGTCAGCGCCACTCACGTAATATTCCGGAATGCTCATGTTACTAGAGAAACTGCAAAGTTAATTCCATTTTGCTAATAAATTTAATATATATAATTAATTGTGGACATTTTTAGATACCAATGTCAAAAAATTTACAGAAATACATAGTGTTACTAAGTGCAAGATGAAACTAAACACCTTGTTGCTTTGCCATCTCCGTGATATTTCTGAGACCAGTGCTGCACCACTGTAAAAGATTTATGAAATTTATATTTGTATTGTTTTGAAGTTAAAATGATAGTCAAGTCATCATAATGTAAATTTTTAATGAACTGAACTAAACACTAATAAAAATTTAATTTAATTAATTTTTTAAATGAATTTTGTGATAAGAAATAAGTTTATGAAAAAAATTGTTCTCTGTAAAGTCGGTTTACGGACGATAGTTAAACGTGACAACTTCATAACAAAACATTGCAAGACGAAAGCTCGAGCCGTTGGTACCATTCGCTCGTTCGCGCCGCGCTCTCGCTCCGATCATGCTCGGCTCGGCCGCAGCGTAACGGGACAATGAGTCATCCTTTTCGTGCATGCAGCCACCCAGAGTTCATCGATTTAAACAAATTCAAATTCAAAATTTAATAACGTTGTCACGTCAAAATATTTATTATTTTCCCAGTACGTCTCTAGTGCATTCGAGTTGAAAACGCCAGCACCGCGATTTCACGTGCGGCTCAATGTCAAGGACAGTAACGTATTAATAAATTGTCAATTATTATGGCGTCGTTACCGTGATAACACGCGTGTACTTTACTTATTTGCATTTATAGTGCTAGAAATTATCGATAATGCTAGAAATTATCGATAATGCTAGAAATTATCGATAATGCTAGACGAATAAGAGCTGTTAAATTTCTGTAGACTGATTCTGAATCGCGGCCGTTATCGCCATCTATTCGACCGAAAAAGAAAATAAAAAGAAAAATATCCGTTGGTAGATCAACGCAGACCGAAAATCATTACATATGCTATGTGAAATCGGAAGAAGATGACTACACGGCCTATATTAGTTTGCCCGCTTCAAGATTCTTTAATCAAAGACAATAAGATCCTCGAAATAAACATTTCGGTACATTAATTGTATTTGAAATGGAGTCAGTCCCATACGAGATTCGATCGCAAGTGTGTATGTATATTATAAATTTGATATGTCACTCTCAGGAATGGGCTATATTAGATCAAGGTTCATGCCCATCTCCTGAATATTGATTAGTTTTATTTAAAGAATTAACGCTGATTAAGTGCAATGTCACTAATAAAAATTAAGACTGATTAAAGCTAATGATAATGCCTAATAAGAAGAATGTTATGTTGATTAAAATGAATAATATTCTATAATTTATAAAAATTTATTTCATTTATCGATAAGCGATTGTTCAAACACTATGCAAAATATTAAATAAAAGTTCCTAGCGCTGGAGACACTCCTCGTCAACTAAAGCGCGGTGGTGAAAGGGTGAACAATATTCGTCTAAATAAAACACAAATCTTTGTGTTTTATTTAGAAAAATGTGTTCAATATGACAATAGTCGATTAGACAAAAGATGAAATAACAAGGTATATTTCAGTTTCATCCCATTTTGTGAATACTGGCACTGCAAAGAGATGTTGCATCTCTTTGCGTATTTAATCGCATTTACCACGGAGAGCGCTCTGAGGAATTGTTAAACTATTTCTAGCCGCACGATTTCACCATCGCACATCGCGACAAAACTCGCGATACCATCCATACTATCTGGATGAACGGTGGTCCGACGTTGTGCCATTTAAAAGAAGTTTTCTTCCTCGCACAACTTCCTTGTGGAATCGACCACCACCAGAGATTTTTCCGGACCGATACGACTTAGAGACCTTCAAGAAAAGACCTCCTCCTCCTCCTTGAGAAGACTCCTTTTTAAAAGGCCTGCAACGCATCTGCAATTTCCCTGGTGTTGCAGTTGTACATGGGCGGTGGTAATCACTTTCCATTAGATGAGCCGTATGCCTGTTTGCCCGCCTCTCCTATAAAAAAAACACTGCGTACGAAGTAAGACAAAGGCAATTGGAGAATGCTTAGAGAAAACTGTTTGTCTTTGATACACATATCGTTCGAACTTTGAATAATGGTATTTGCGTTTTTGTCTCATATTTGTTTGTTTTTATTGTGATTGAGCCGCGGTGAGTCGAAGGATAACCTCTCAATGCAAATTTTACAGTATGCGAGCAACCTGGGTCAATACCCGTCGGCACCAATGAAAATTTGCAATTGAAATTTTGATTGCTGGTTTACCATGTGTTCGGCAGTGAAGGAAAAAATTGTGTAAATACCTGCAAGTCTGAGGTATAAAATATTTCGAGGATACGTAAAAGCAACTCGTCAAACTAATCGCTCCATCACCTTTTCAGATTTGAGAATAAGTCTATTCCTAGCCGTGATGTGTATTTAAACTGTACGGCTAGGCTTCGAATCCAAGACTTGTGGAATAGCAACCAGGTCTTATACTCGTCAATAGAAACTAACTTGCTGCAAACCCATAATGACCATCTCAACTATTGGCGCACATTAAACATCGTGATCAGCAGTGGAGCTAGCTAAGTTGACTCTCTTTAATCGTTAACTCTTTTAGTAACATGATTTCATTTATTTGTGTATAAATTTCTACTAGCGCTAACGAATGCAGAAAGTTGACTCGGCTGAATGTTATATGAGAGGCATGTATTTCTGTAATATTTTGCAAACACTGTAATTAAAAGAGTGCTTTCGTGTTTCTAATACTCTCATTTTCAATTAAACAAATTTCAACTTCTCGCTATTTGAAGAAATGCTCTTTCCAGAAGGTAATGAGTGATATTAAAAATTATTAAGCTGACATAAAAAAGATACAGGTTATCAATGACTTATTTTCGGATGTATATGTAGATTTCATGATGTGTGTAATTTATTTTTAATATTTTTTATATAAATTGTACCCAAACGACCCACTTAAAAACTAAAAGGAATGAAATAGATTTTTAATATTTTATTAGTTTTAGTTTTCTGAAGTTGGCTTTTACGTTCTTAAGGTTTAGTTATTATCTTTATGTTTTAAATATTTACCTGGCACCGCATACACGAGAATGAAGCTGAATGTCCCAAACAGTTCCCTGTTAATGGAATTCGGCCATTTTTCTGTGCAAAACTCAATACTGGTTTCCACCAACATCTGTAATATGATACGTAACAAATATTAGTATTTTAATTATACATTTCTTCATTATCATCAGCTCCTAATAGTCAGTCAGTAACAGCAGAACATAGGTGGGAGGTATTCCACAATTATCGACAACCTTGCCAAGGTTTTTTTTATTTTTAATTCAATGTGCTTATCTATGAAGAAAGTATATTTATTTTTCATAAATTCGTTTTTAATTTTATTCGTTTGTTTTTCGATCAATAAGTGAATTGTTATAATAATAGACAAATAAACTAAACTACAAAGATTGCCTCATCACTTAGTAGAAAAAACAGCATGCACTTAAACTAAAACATTTGTTGAATTATGAAAAAAGGATTATAACTTATATAATTATTTAAAAGATAGGATAGTGGAACTTTGAATTCTCTAGATTTCATAGAATCAGACGTTACTTTGCGGAAATCCATTACAATAAAGGCATTAATTAATTCGCAACTATCCGCAAAAAATACAATGATGTGTCTTACCTGGATTGAATTGAGGTAAGACACATCATTGTATTTTTATGCGGATAGTTGCGAATTAATTAAGTCTATATTCTCTAGATTTATTTATAAATGTATTATAATAGGTCTTTACTCATAAAATTGCCGTTCTGCAGTGCTGGCCATTTCAAATCAAAATAATTTTTGTTTGGGTAAGAATTCTAATTTCAAATCAATATTGTTTTAGAAACATGGAATTCTTTATTAAAATTAGTCACTTGTTTATTTTGATTAGCGTTATGTTTTCAGCACATTTGAATGTTTTTCGTCATCAAGGACAGGTTAAAAATTCGAGTAATTATGGTATATGAGTACCGTCATGGTAACAACGCAGCACAAGTGGCACGGACCATCAACGACGTTTACGGAGCGAATACTATAAACGAACGCACCACCTATAATTGGTTTGCCCGCTTCCGTTATGGATATTTTGACGTGAAAAATTAACCTTGTAGTCATCAAAGTCAATTTTGGTCGACTATAAAGAATTAAAGGCGATTGTGGAAGCTGATGATGCTCAATCTACGGTTGAATTAGCAACAGCTTTCGACGTTAAAACAATATTGGTCTATTTGAGTCAAATTGGCAAAGAAAAAACTTGACAAATGGGTACCTCACGAACTTAATGATCGCAAGCGCGAAGTACGCGTTGGAACGTGCCTTGCACTGCTCAACAGGCACTCCTAAGAAGGAATTTTAGCCCGTATAATTACCTGCGACGAAAAATGAATTTAGTTTCACAATCACGAGCGCTCAGCAAGTTGGTTATATCCTGATTCAGCACCTAAATAATTCCCTAAACGTAAACTTACCCCTAGAAAATGATGATCACTGTTTGGTGAGGACGGGTTGAGTATTATTGCAAATACGTAGTGTGAAAAAACGAACACAATGATAGAGAAACTCAAACGTCTCCAACAAGCTTTGGTCACTGGTACAGCACGACAACGTGCGACCACATATTGCACAACAGACGGTCTGTAAGTTACAAGAGCAGGGATTGGAAGCTTTCTTTCATCTGTCGTACTCACTAGATTTGAAAGTAACTTAAAAAAACGCATTTTCATAGTTAAATATATTTTACTAACTTGCCAGGCAGACGTTGTTCTGCCCTTTTCGACGACCCTTTGTCATGTCCTATTAAAAATCCTTAAATAAGTAAAAAAATCATGCGTCACTCATGGGCAAAAAAAACTATTATATCTCTCAAGTTGGACCAAACTGCACACGGTGTGCAAATTTGATTAAAATCGGTTGAGTAGTTTAGGAGTTTATTGCGGACAAACAACGTGACACGTAATTTATATATATTAAGATAAAGTGAAATTTTAATTGTTTGGAGAAAAATTGTTTATTAGTGATATTAGTGCCCCGCGGTAGGGACTCATTAAAGCGAGAGCGTAGTAACTTTAGTCGTTGAAAAAGTTTTTTAAAGGCCAGTTTTACGAGGAATGATCCATAGTAATGATAATCGGTTATTTCCAGTGCACATAAATATGCAAAAAAAATTATTGCTTGGTTGTGTACCCTGTAGACCAGCATTAAAAGTCATATTATAAATAGGCTATGATTCCGGGAGGTATTTTCATTTAAATAAGAATCAGTATAAATATTATGACTTTGAAGTGTGGTGGCGGTGTAAGAATGATCCACTTTCCCAAATCGTCCCGTGTGTGTCGTAAGTGACGATAACGGGAAATTGAAACAGGAGCTACCAACCCAAAATAAAAATAAAGCGTAGCAACTATGGCAAAATCCTTCTGTAAGGCAATATATGGGGTATGCTTGGTCCTTGGTGCTTGGTGGTTGGTACTCCTGTGAGGTAATTAATCTATGGGCGTTTATAGACTGTAATAAATGGATGGACTTCGAAGTAGATTGTCAACCGCAGTACAGAAGAAGCTCGCACCTTTGGCACTTCTTTTGTTTATTCACAGCAGATGGACACCCGCATTTATAGACCATGAGATTTTTCCAGTCATTTTCATAGGAATAGTGGATTTTTCTACGTACTAGCATCTTAAGTCGTATTAGTCTTTCGTAAAAAAATGATTTATAAGGCACTTGATTGGTACCTAAATTTATTTTTTTAAAACGTTAACCCACACTAGAACTTTCTCCTGTTTCGTGGAGGCAGTTTACATATATTAATTTCACAAGGGCAAACATCAAGACTCGAAACAATGATTTTTTTTTTCATTTTTATTTGTAAGCCATTGAGTATTACATTTGTAGGCCATACAAATAATTGTTCCATACGGGATTAGAAACCACGGCCCTCAGCGCCGCAACTAGTTGCTAAACCACTATGCTAAAGTGCCGTCAAAAATAATTAAATTTTATATCTGTATTGTATGTTCAAAGGCGATTTTATTCGATATGCCGGTTGGCTCGTGACGTAAAATTTCGGGAATTGCAAATTTTTTGCTAACTTGCAAATTTTGCTATATTTTCACTTTGAGGCAATATTTATGGATAAAATTTACAGGGATTCTTATTGAATGTATAAACTGTCGAATAAAATTATTTTTAGTTGCTAGAAATTGTAATAAAAATCAAAAATTACCCTTTATAACATAGTAGTAGTAGATACTTCACTTTTAGATTAAAATTACTACTAATTTGAATTCTACACGTTTGTTTTTGGAGAAATCTATATGAAAATTCGTTACTCATACCAAAATATAAAATAAAAATAAAAAAACGAAATTAATTAAACAGGTATACTATAGGTATTCAGTTCTCCAGCGCCTCTAAAATGACTGCCCTAGCCGGTCTAATAAGTTATGACGTGAAAAAAACATGGAGTTTATCATCCTCTATATCTAAAGATGGCGGGAGGTGCTCCTTAGTCTATATAAAACACATTATTGTATTTAATTAAGCGGATGGTTGCAAAGTAACTATTAATATCTTTATATAATGGATTTCCGCAATGTTACGCCTGATTCTATCAATCATTTTAATTAAACCTCCAATTCCCTTTACTACGGGACATGAAGGCGTCTTATTTACAAATAATCTCAAACGTTGGCGACACTGCTGCGTTATAAAATTACTTTGCGACTTACTATCTACGTTGGTTTCCATGCTAATCTCTAATTATAATACGCACGGTACCTAGTAGTACAGTGGTGGGAACGCGATAAATCTCTTTCACGTTCGGCAGTATGCACAAAGTAACTTCGCCCAAGCGCGAATTTGGCGTAGTTAATTAAGAAGCGTCTACTTTGGTGGATGGAACGACACTCCCCAACTTGCTTAACGCGAGTGCGGCACAACTCTCAAAATGTAACTTTGAGTGATGTCTGTTGCTGCATTTATTTCATACTGAACTTAAGATACAATTGGCAGCACGATGCTTGTTACTCATATAATTTAAGCACAAGTTTTTAGCTTTTACTATATTATAACGTTCGCTCGATGAACGCTTACGGAAAATTGCACAATTATACAGAATACCATGTTGATTAGTTTAACAGGCGTTATGAGAAAATGAAGGTTTTAATCGGCATATTTTTTTGCTCCCTGTTTGATATTTGATGAACGCTGTATCACTTTATTTTTTTGTCTCGAACGAAAGATGCCAAGGTTTCAAACAATGGTAGGTCGGAGCTACCATCCTGCATTTTGAACGAACGTACGTTTTCTGGGTCTAGCTTCTTTAACGCAACACGTAATGCAAATTTCTTTAATGCAATATGTTAAAATATTAAGTTCACAAGGTCATTAAACTTAAGATTTTTGAGAGTGGCTACCGACGTTACGAATCTGTTCAAAAATTGTTCGAGGCTACTTATATTCGCGAACAACATAGCTTTAAGATCAAATATTTGATCCAAATATGCAGAAGCTAACATTCGTTTATTTTCGTGTTTATTCCTTAGCGATTCGGAAACTAACGAATAATTGTCCCGGTTGGTGTGAGTCCGGGATACATCGATTGCACCTTGCCACTTAACATGCCAATTAAATAATATAAATTTTCAGCATCCGAAAAAGAGGGATAATTATGTATAACATTCCGAAAACTAGTAATAAATAACGGTCAAATTAAAAAAGTGGCAATCTAAGTGAGTTGCGTGAGTGCACCTGAACTGTCTGGCTTCACGCCGCTCTGAGCTACAGGTTGAAGCTGCCTGACTGCTCGCTTCACGTGGCACAATAAATCTTTGAAAGCTATAAGTGATTGCTGATGATTGTGATGCTAGGAGAAGAAATTATGAGGTATGTGAAACGATACAAGCAAAAGCTACTTTCGCCGAAAAGTTTTATGGGTACAGAATAGGCAGGTTATATAATAAGGTTAATAAAAAACATTCAATTTTTCAACTAACAAAATATAAATGTAAGAAAAAATTAACAGATTGGCTTATGAAACTAGATTACGAAGAAACAGAGAATTTACTGTAAAAGCGGAATAGTGAGAAACACACTCACACACACACACACACACACACACACACACACACACACACACAC